AAAATTGAAAAAAATGAAGGGGGTCTGAATACTTTCCAAATGCACTGTATATATACACAGCTAAGCAACAGTCACTCTCAAAATACTAAATCCAATCCTAGTTTTCCTGTTTCCTATCTAGCTAGTCTCCACAAAAATACAATTTTTGTCCTATATGCAAAATTCTGTGCATATAAGCGTATGTTTTTGTAATAGTTCTTCCTTTCTGGAAACAAGGATACCCAGAAATTAGCTTGGATCCATGATATTTACTGATCCCTGCCTTTGAGAGGTTGCTTTTGCTGCAGCTGGACTTTTTGCAGGGTACTAGAAGCGAAGAAATATTCATGGCACATCTTGGAAAATCTTTCAGTAGAAATGGAAAGTGCAAAATGTACTTAGGATGGGCAAAGCGTTTCGAATTCAAAATATTTTAAGCTTGAAACATTTTGGATGCCCATTGAAGCTACATTTCTTGCCTCCAACAAATTATCTTGAAAGCAGTGTGTTTCTGCTGTGCATATAATATTCACACTCTTGATGAACAAGTGAGTGGATTTGCTAAATGTGAAGATAAAGGTAGAAAAGTATCACTGTGTTACACTTGTGGATCCTGACTTTCTTAGTTATTTTCATAAAACAGTTTCCAAAACTGTGATTAAATGCTATATTTGTACATGTTTTTAAAAGTGGTTTTATGTAGTTGCATACCCTACAGATTTATTGTAGTACTGTATAAAGACCACTCAGCCCACATTGAGAGCCAAAGCACATTGCTTCATTCAGTTTATGGATGATTCACTCTAAACATGATCTGGAAAAACTGTTCAGTAGTGATAGATTCCAAAAAAGGGATTTTAGCTTCTGGATAAGAGATAGTGGCTGCTTATACGCTAGTTGTTTTTAAATCATTAATCTGCTGCAAATGCTGTAGAGTGCTGTCAAAATAATACAAAAAGAATATCATATGGCTGTTTGAATATACTTTCCTGTTTCTTGGGCAGCAGGAAATAAGATTTAAGAAAGAGGGAATATCCATGGTAAAAAAATATAGCTAAGATACATTGTGGCTCTTTCAGTGAACTGTAACCATTCAGCTTCAAGACAAGAGACTAATAGGCTGTGATCTCCAGACCTTGTTCGACTTAGTGCCTTGTTGTCTGCTATACTGCTACAAAGAGAAAGGCAGTCATGTCAATGGCGTGTGTGGGCGCATTCATGCATTCTAACATGAAAACATTAAAATGTGTAACTGTAAATCCTCTTTTCATTCATACATTGGCAATGGTATAACCTAATTATTTTCATACCAAATGAAATAATTATTGAGAGATTATGTAGGTGTAGCATTTGGAGAAAATAGAATTGTCATTGACCAGACTGACAAGTTTTAATTACGCAAATGCATGGTTTTTAAGTAATACGGCAAACAGTTACAGGTCTTGTGAACATTGTTACTTATATCTTTATTATTGATGAAAATCTTTACTGGCACTTCAGGCATATGATTCATTCATCATATTACCTTTAGCAAGCAAACTTTCATTTCCGAGAAGACTCTGTCCTGTAATTTCAGTGGCTATTGTTACACGCATTAGACATATTTATAAATGAAATTCTTTTAATGGTATAACAGTGCTTCCTATAATTGATATAGTACAACAATTTTCAAATAGAGGTTAAACACTTAATGCTATTGATATCTGCTAATGTAAACATTTCAAAGAAGGGAAAGCCAAACAATCTCCCATCTTCAGACCTGAATATGAAATCAGTAGTTCATATTCAGTTAGAATTAATTTGTATTGGCTGTGAGCAGTTATGAAAAACACTGAAAGTATCCTTTAAAATTGCGTCTTTAAGACCTAAATGAATTTTTAGAAATTTGACTGAATACTACTACAAAAGCAAGTTAATCTAACTCTAAAATGACCATTCCTAATTAATTTCCTCATTTGTAAAACTTGCTCTAAGAATAATAAATCCCCCTTTTGTTCACAAACAATAATTACTTCAATAAAATAAATTTAAAATAAAGTGGTTCATGATTCTACTGTAGCAGAAAGGTCTGAATATTTGAGTAAAAGAAGAACTAAGTGTTGAAATATGAGGCAGAGAAAATAATGGCTAGGTGCAAGAATAGAAAAGAAGAAAGAGATTAAGAAGTCATGAACCTGGACTAGCAGGGCAGAAAAGATTAGAGCTAAGTTTAAATGGCACTCAGAAATACTTCATCAAATTTGTGTATATAGCTATTGGATGGATGAATTTTCTGAATTTCTTTATAGGAAGGAGATATTTTCCAGTAATTTCTCAAGGGAAAGATTCCACCTTAGCAATGATATTTAAGATTGCTACTGAAAAAGCCAAGTGAGAATTTCCCTCATTTATGCCTTTCTTTAAGATTTAAATGAAACTTGGTAACCCAAGGAGTCTGTAGACTACCAGAGAGGTGACTGTACAATGAAAGATAGCCATACAAAAATCTCTAAATAAGTAACATTTTCCTTTAACAGTATTTCTAAAGCAAGTTAAATGGCAACTGGTAGGGAAAGAAAAATCAGAATTTATTGCTCATGAACTAGAAAAGATAGAAGACAGAAGGAAGGGAAGAAGAGTCATAGTGTGTTAGTGAGAGTATTTATTTATTTAATTTACATACGTGACTCTGAACAATGTACAAAGTTAAAAATACAAAAACAATACAACAAAATTTTTAAAAAAACAATAAAAACCATTTTAAAGAATACAATCTGCAAGAGAGCACACTCAGTTTCCAAACAGCACAGCCACTTTGTAGGCTCCACACCCACATTACCAGATCCCCAGGCCAGATGGCAAAGCCATGTTTTCAGGCCCTTCCAGAAGACCAGCAAGGTTGGGGCCAGTCTGACCTCAGGATGAATGATGTTCCAAAGGGCCTTCCTCCTGGGTCCTGCCAGATAATATAATGGGACCCACAACATGCCCTTCCTGCCAGACCTGGTGGGATGAGTAGATGTGATTAAGGATGGGTGGTCCCTCAGATAACCTGGCCCCATGCATAGGGCTCTATAGGTCTTTACCAGCACCTTGAATTGAACACAGAAGCAAACTAGTAACCACTGTATCTCACGGAGCAGAAGTGTACCATAACTGCCTGCACCGCCACATTTTGTACCAGCTGAAGCTTCCTGTGCTCTTCAAGGGTAGCCCCATGTAGAGCACATTATAGTAATCCATGTGGGAGGTGACCAGAGCATGAGTGACTGAGTGTAGGGCTTGCTGGTCCAGGAATGGGCATAACTGACACACAACCTGAAGTTGCGCAAAGGCCCTCCTAGTCACAACTCCCACCTCTGTTCTGTACTTTCTTGAACTGGTTCCAAATCTCTGACTTTTCCCCCATTTTGTGGTACAAATATATAGAGCTCTGCTCTAGGAAGGAGGCTCTGGCAAACCACTTCGGAAACACTTG